TTAGGCCTTCTCTCCATTAATTTTTCCCGCCTCCATTTTGAAACCACGCAACCAGCCCAATTACTTCCTTATTTAAAACTTCTCATCTTTCAAGGCTGTAAAAATAGAGAAAGCTAAACCAATACATAGCAGTTCCCCACAGAATAAAGCACTATAAACATCAGTTCAGCTTCTGAAGATCATGTACATTCGTGTTTTGCTACCTTAACATTGCATAAGGAAAAAAAAAATAAATCTGTACACAGAGGGTTTGAACACTTCTATTGAAGAATATATTATTCTACTGAAGAAAACTGAAGTACTCAGACAGAAAGAGCAAAATAAGTCACTATGCAAACTCAGTGTTTGTTTGCCACAAATTGTACATTCCTACTGTGATACAGGAATAATAATAGTCTGTCATAAGCTATCATTCCAGAAATTATAGCATAAGAAGCTTCAGAGTTATTTGCTGGAAAGACAGACTTCGATAGATTTACCAACAAGTTCCTTTTTTATTTATCACTACTTTATTTACTTATTAGATTCCAGTCTGTTGAGCAGCTCATTGTATGTTTGTTCAACTACACGGAAAGAACCATTCAGTTTATAGCACTGCTTTATATGTAAATCAAGTTCTGAAGACACTCTACTAATCTTAGATGTCAAAGGGAAAAATATATTGTGAAATTTAAGACGGTTGAGATTTTTCATAAACTCAGAAGGAACACTGGAATTACATAGCACACCTGACTCACAGTAAAGCATTTTCTCCAAGCATGTGTCAAATCATGTATATTAAAGGATTTATTTATTTTGAAATTTACTGTAACACCTTGAGCGCTTCTGAGTACTGTGACAATTTTAAATTCTGTCCTCTGCATACAGTCAGACTTACTGTCTTCCTAGCACTGGAAACAAGCACTGAGCTTGTTTCTTCTCTGTGGATACATTTCTATCGTATTTACTTGTATTGGAGAAAAAAGCAAACTTCCCACCCACACAAATCAAGATCCAAGAGCAAATTCAGAGACATTTTGCAGCCAATGGGGAAGAAAAAATAATCCTAAATCAGCCAGCTGTTGCACTAACAACATCAAGTAAAGGAATTGTGGAGCTCATTCTACCCTTTATCAATAATGCATGGCTGCACACAGACAATTTATAGCTGTTTTCCATAACTAGGTATTGTGTAGTACTAAATTAAGTCTACAAAATTCAAGGACAGTCCACCCACACAGCTACTGTAAGCTAGCCAGGCCACTCTGAATAAACATTTTAAAGGCATAAAGTGAGTTTTATTAGCATGCTGAGCCACAGCTCTCAGTGGACAAAGCATCTCCTTTAGAAAAGTAAAAGTACATTTAGCAGAAGCCGAGATCAGTTGCTCTTATGCCTTACATATGAAGAGCTTAAAAGGTTATATACATGCGACAACTCAAAACCTTGGATTTATTTAAACTAAAACCTGAAGCAAGAGAAGAATTTATTTTCAGTACTGGAAATTGATTACCAGTCTCTAGAAATCATAAGGCAGGGACTGAACTGCTCAAGTCCTGATAACAAAAGAGCTAAGGAAAAAAGATGGTTTTGTTTACATTTAGGTAGCCCTAAAGATTAACAATTTTTTTTTTTAATCCTTCACATATCATAAATCAGAAAAGCACAGGCAGGGCTTTCATCAGCATAAAGAACTTGTTATCACACCAATATTTCCTCATTACATTTACAGCAGCAGTAGACAAGCTGGAAGTGGGGTTCCTCAGCAGGCATCTTTAAGCCAAAGATGGTAGAGCACAACCCAGTTATGTTTGGTCAGTCCTGTCTTCATGCCATAGCAGTCTCAGCACGTAACTGAATTACACTGCATATCTGAAACATGAGCATTAAAGCACTCTGAACACAAGAGCTGGACAACAGTAGCAAAAAGATGCTGCCACCAAGTCTGTGCATTCAGGTTCCACACAGGCTCTGCTACCGCGGTCACCAAGAAACCTCAAAGAATCACTTTATTTTGGCTTCCAGTGCCTAGTCCAGGTGCACAGCATGGATGGCAGCTTCACCAGGAGGTGGGTTTGGGTCACACTGCAAGCTTCTGCAGCTGTTTCTGCTACCCATCATCTCTCCAGAGACATCAGCAAGGATATTTGGGATGATCTTCATACAAGCAATGATCCACTTCAGACAGGAGCCCACATGTCTCTCCAGGTAGTTGGTGTGATAAGAATGTCCCTGCCTGGAAAACTGCGTATGGGAGGGTGAAGAGAGTAATACAGCAGAGCTGGGCTGTGTGACTGGTTTGTAGCACACTGAGCACAGTCAAAGCTATGAGCAGGAGGGATGTAAGGGACAGTACTTGTGTCACATCTCTTACCAGCTAATCATGTGGATATGTCTGGCCAAATAAGAGATGTCACTGAATTTGTGGGCATGAAGAGGAAGACAGCTGATCAATGACAGCTGGATTTGCAAAATTGAGTTTTCTAATGCAGGTCTGCAGTGTTATGTAACAAAATCTAACTTCACCTACAATGAGTTCTTAAAACTCATAAACCTTTGTAGATAACCAGAGCTTCATCAATTATTGTGAAAGTGACTTAACTGCTCCAGTGAGCCCAAAAAATTCTGGAAGCAGGGAATCAGGTTTGACTAAGCTTCAATACAACCTGTGCCACAGCAACAAATAACTCCATGTTTGCTGAAGTTGCTCCTATACTGTACCCCTGTGAAAGCACAATGTCTGCAGGCAGAAACTATCCTGGATTATGTTGTACCAAGATCTAGTCACATTTGTTATTAAGTCTGTCTTCCCCATGAACAAGTTGAAATGTAAAAACCTACACTAAGGAATGTAGCTGCTAGTATTTTTAGTTAAATCAGCCAGGAAGAGAAACCACAAGGTTTAGTAGATCGAGGTCCTGCTGTGAAAAACAAAATTGTTAATCTGAAGTCTGAGGAGACTGGAGTGAAAGAAAATACTGGTTTAAATGAAGGCTGCAAGCCCTGGCATTGAAAAATCCCGGACAATCCCAGTGAGGTAACTTTGGCTTTATAAAAGTTAATTTTATGAAGCCTGCTGTTTCTCCCCCCATTACCACACACGATCATGGAATTCAGCACAGTTCAGAGAAGCACCAAATGGCATCATTAAGCACTCTGTAAGGGGGATGCTAACTTACAACTCACAGATCCAGCATTACAGCAGCCATGCTAGTATGTCAGAGCAGCAGAGCACCTGTGTGAACCTGAGATGAACACTCCGCTGTCACAGCCCTGTGACAAGAGCTGAAATTGGAGGAGTCTGCCCCTTAGCCATGACGTTGCATCCCATCAGTCCCACGAAGGAGCCAGGTAGTCACTGCTACTTTGGCTCTGTGACAGCTGGCACAATTTTTCCAGCCTTTCTGCACTCACACTCTTCTTTGGTCTGCATACCTTCTTAAAATTTCTTCCTTTCCCACTCTGCACCTCATATACCCTCCCACATGTCCCCCCCAACAATCAAAGCTGCAGCTACTCATACCAAATAGAATCATAGAGTCATTCAGTTTGGAAAAGACTTTAAAGATCAAGTCCAACCACAGCTTAACCATACTACCCTAACTCTCACAGCCCTCTGCTAAATCATGTCCCTGAGCACCACATCCAAATGGTTTTTAAACACATCCAGGGATGGTGACTCAACCACCTCCCTGGAGAGCCTATTCCAGTGCTTAACAACCCCTTCTGTAAAGAAGTTCCCTCCCTGCACAGTGTGTCAGGTCAGGGATGAGCACAGCCATCCAACACATCCCCACCCCCTCTGCCCAGAAGGCTGTGCTTGGCTGTGTGTGCAGCTCTCCACAGCCAGGGCATGGCTGTGGCCTGCAGCCACACAGGAACTGGAAGAAACCTCACCGCAGTGGCAAGTCTCCTTATTTAGCCTTTTCTAAGGAGTTTCTTCTCCATACAGCCCCGCCATGGGGCCTAGAAGCAGTTATGGGTGCTTTGACCTAGCAGTTATTTGATAACAGAAAAGGCATAAGTGCCTTTCCTAAAGAAAAGTAGGAGTGAGAGACCAGAACTGGTGCAAAAGGAACTAGACCGAGGTCTGCCTTCACAAGACAGCACTTAAACTGCATTGAGCTACCTCAAGCAGTGACCAGAGACACATATTTACCGTTGAAGAGATAAGTTCTAGATGATCTGTCACCCAAACCCACAGCACACCACATTGCATGCAACAAAGAGGGAGACAGTAGTTCCTTAAAGTAAATAAGGAGTCAGTGATTACTCCTGAAAACAGCTAAACATGAGGGAACCCAGGGGCTCAGTAGCAAAGAGGCCCTTTATGAAGCAATTAGTTCCCTGGACTTGGCTTACCACAAGCTTAATTCAAGCACAGCCCCTGCTTACTCAGATGCCTCTGCAGTGAAAAGATTATGTTGTGCATATGGGTGCACAACACAGCTGGTCAAAAAGCACAGCAGCACTACCATGGAGCAGAAATACAGATATGAACCTGAACAGATAGGTGCAAAATACAGGTATGTACAAATTAATGAAAGCGATGACAGTGCAAAACCTCTAGCTGGAGAATGCTCAATTAAGTCAGCTATAGTTCTACAGTTTCATCTGGTTTTTAATGTCTTCGGTTTTTCTTACCTGTATTTTTTTTGGTGAATAACATGTCTCAAGCCAACATCCCACGGAGACAGAAGACTAAATCTTTTCACTACTAAAACTTTATTAATATGTAGGGAAAGCTTTAAGGCAGTCTAATGAAAGGGTATATGTATAAATAGAACTGGTCATCCAAGGAAAGATAACAAGTTATTTCTTCATTGCATCATTTTTTAGCTTACTGAGGTGATATTTTATCCTTAGAGGCAAATACTGACAGTCTGGTCCAGTGTTACACACAGTACAGAAACCACAACAGTATGATTTACTATGGAGTCAGAGATGGACTGGGACAGTCCATGAGACCATATCTTCATATTCATCATCTTCCCTATTTCCCCTAGCAAGTCAGATCTTACCTTAAAACACTGTAACAAATGCCAGTCCTCTGCTCTTTCAGGCCTTTCTGAAGATAAGAAATAAATGCAGAAGATTCACCTAGTTCAGTAATTCAGCATCTGACAGCACATTCAGGAACCCAAAAGTCATCCTACAAGAAAAGAAATGAAAAGCAAGTAATCATTATACATGTTGGGCAATATATCACATGCTTAAAGCTGCAAATGCCTGGTAAAGCCATGCTGCTAAACAATAACAAAATTAACCTTTCATATCTGTGACTATCCTATCATTTTTGGCTTCCAAGATGTAACTCACATAAGCAGTATTTTGATTACCACACCCTGAAGAGAAAGCACACATCTTGCAAAAGACATCACTCTGTAGTGCTTTCCCAGTTAAAATCCTCTTTGTTCAAACAACAGTCCGTGTGAATGCACAGAAACAAAGCTTGGAGACGACAGGACACACCAGCCATGTCGGTTAGGGAAACACAGCAGTGTACAGAAATGCAGAAGTCCATGTGAGCTAAGCAGTAAAACTGTGTAATTTAGGATGTCTCTGCACATGAAAGACATGGAAGCATTTTATAGACTGCAGTAGGCGAGGAGATGATTGTCTGCTGTCCCATTTCCCTGAGCAGCCTTTATTAGAATTCTTATCATACAGGGATTTGCACATACTTCCAATGGCTATAAAGATGCTTAGACTGCAGTTAACTTCATGCCTGCACCACTCTCTGGAATGTAGGACAGTTCTTCCCTTTTCTTCCACAGCAGTTCAGATAAGATGTTCTGCCAACAACGTTTAGACAACTTATTTCTGACTTCTAACTTGCTCGGCCTGTTTTAACTCAAAAAAGCAAGCTTCCCAGAACACGAGTGCACAGAGACACCAAGGCCCGTGTTCTGGCACTGATACATCCCACCATGCAATCACTCACAGGTAAAGTCCAAGGCAGCTGCACACCAAGGCAGTGCTGGAGACCCACCATATGCAAATGTTGACATTTACACAATGCTGCGAGGACCTCTGATAGCTACCTAGTGATGAGACAGGAGAACAATCTCTGTCCAGTATGGCTGCAAGAGTTCTGAAAATTTCTCCCCCCTTCCTCCCCCAGTTCAAAAGACACATATCATCCATGTTTTAACTGCATGTTTCACTAAAGCTTTGGTATGAGAACATAAAACATTTCTGACCCAACCTGTTAGGCTTACACGTCTGTAGTTTTATGGAATACAAAATAATTTTTTTTTTTTTACTATAATACACCAGTACTCAAAACAAGTCCTCAAAATATATCAATGCATCCACATGTGGGCTGTCCTAATCCCACACTGTTTACAGAACAGCCTACTAAGGGAAACTGTCTTCACAAGCTAAAATATCACTTATTTTTCTTCAGACACAAAAGCTCACAATCCCAACTTGCAAGACTCAATCCTATCATGCAAGAAGTTGCACAGGCGAGGCAGAAGATCAACTGGGTTAAATCAATGCCTTGTAGCCCAACTGAAAGAAAACCAAATTGCACAGGTAATGCTGGCAGGAATACATAACTTGTGAAGATGTGGTCTGAGAATGCAGGAAGAGAATAAGGAAGGAGCAACTGGATCTGAACTCCAGTGACTGCGAGAATGAAGAACTTCCCATTGCAAGAAAAGAACAACGTGTGCACTTCCATAGTATCTAATGAGATGCATCTGAGGGTTCTGAGGAAACTGTGGGATTAACATATGCCACTACCCCTCATATTTGAAAAGCTGTGGTGGTCTGATGACTGGAAAAGGAAAATTATAACCCATTTTTAATAAGGGAGAAAAAGGTAATGGAGCAGGTTCTCCTGGATCTGCACAGAATAAAGCAGTGATCTATGACTGCCAACATGACTTCACCATGGACAAATAATACCTTCCGTTTCATGGTCTCCTGCAACAGGAGCAGCATTGGTGGAGAGTGGATAGAGAAAGAGCAACTGGAATTATCTACCTGGAATTGCAGAACAGTGTCAAAGGCTTTGTGCATGAGAGGCTGTGGGTACACCAATGCAAAAGTGGTTGAGGCCAGGCTGGATGAAGCTTAGACCTACCTGCTCTATCTGTCCCTGTCCACAGCAGAGGGTTGGAACTAGATGGGTCTTTAAGGTCCACTCCAACTCAATCAAATCTATGATTCTATAGTTTTAAATGATGTAGCTTCATTTAGGTCTGTCTGTGAGGGTGGGAGTGTGTGGTAAGTCTGCAGGAAAACTCAAGTAGAAGATCTCCCCCATGGGAAACAATCCCTAAATGCAACATCTGCTGAAGAAAAAAAAAAAAAAAAAAACAGGAATCCAAAAGTCCCAAATGTTGCATTAGGTAGACTTTAAAATGGTATTCAGTGTTCTTAAATAACCCTCAGGGAAGTGAGAGTCCACTCCTTCTTCCCTCCATCTAACACTTCTGCAATATGTTCAAATACACATTCAACCATTCATGCAAAATATTAACGTTTATATGCATGCTGCCTACTCACTCTAAAAACAGTTGTTATATTTCAATAGGAATGCATTCCACGACCAAAAAATATATTCATCCATCCAACATTAAAGCATAATGCACAAGTAAACTCGATCACAGAACACAGTTACATCCTTGGAACTACATATTCATATGTAACAGGAAGCACAGGTCAGTGTGTTTCTGTATAACCTCCTATTCCCCAGTTTTGTAGAAAACAGTATTACAACAGACTCCTATAAGAGCCTCAATTTGATACTTCAAGATTTCCATCTTCATCTTCAAGACGTTCAGTCACAGTTACACATCCAGGCTGATGTTTCAAGGGTGCAATAAAACTGTCTTTCAAATATCTGTTACCATACCCAGAGCGTTATGTGCCCACAACACGATGTCAAGATTGTTCAGATATTACTCATGAGTCAATTTTGCCTCAAAATATTTTCTCTTTGGCCGTCCTCCCACAGCCATCATATCCATATCAGGTCAATCTGTACCAGGTAGTCTGTGTAATTCAGCTGAAGCAAGTTTTTATGCCAACATCTGGGGCAGATCAGTTTGACAGCAAAACTACATGACCATAAGAGCCAGAACTCCATAGCTCCAGCTTCAAGATCAACAAGTGACAGAATCAGACGCCCCCAAGAAGCAGACTGAAAAGGAGAATCAGAAATCCTTTGGGAGATAAGATTTATGACATACTTTGTCATTTTCTATGCCAGATGGGGGAAAAAAAAAAAAAAAAGCTTCAGTTTTGCCTTTTAGCCCAAATAATCACAACAAATGCAATCATTTGACTCCTACACATCCAAAGCCCCACCAAAACAAAAAAACGTGCTGCACACCCTTTTTCCCTTAAGGACAGAATAAACCACACCTAGCAGGTGTTAATCAAAACATCAAACATTAGAAAAACATTCTGACACAACGGAGATTTAAAAATATATATGCAACACTGCAAGCACAATTTAAATCTGTATAGAATGGATTTATGTCTCCTGTATCAAAAAATAGTTGTTCTTCTGAACTGCCTCGCAAACAGCAATTTAAATGGAACCCCAGGAAGAAAACTGACTTACTGATTAGCAGAACTGTGTGCTAAGTAGAGGCAAGGAAAAGCAGAAATGAGAACTGACACAGAAAAACAACTAAGCAGAGATATTACATATACCAAAAGGAGCAAATCTGCTGATAAAGTTGTCATCTTTGCAGGAAGCTCTACCCTTGAGAATACTTCCCATTTAAGCAAAGCTGGCTATGTAAGAGATTCTGCAAACTTGCACAGACTTTTCATGGAAACTGTTTGTATTTCGCAGGCATATTCCAGCTTGACAAGTTCTCCATAGATCAGTAACACATGTGCTCAATCTTCTCTTTTCCATTTTAATATTATTTAACACCTCTTCCCACGTGCACCTACCTCCGGCAGATGTTCAGATTCTCCTACCTGAAAAGAAATCCAGCCCCCTCAACTGCAGGGACACGCCTGGATAATATATTGAGATACGCCTTAGATACTGTGTCAGACACTTTGAAGTCAGTTAAAGATGCACTGCATAGCACCAAATGGGAAATCACACTCTTACTGGGGAATAAGCACCTTGAAATCAGTTCATATAATCAGTTCATATTTGAAGGTAGCATTTCCCCAGGTAAATTTCCCCAGGTGTCTCCTATTGAATATGTGGTACTTACGGACAGAAAGCCACCACATATCCAAACGCAATATTCAATCATGGTAGACTTAATTGGCATAAGATCTCATAATTGCTAAAGAAAATAACAAAGGCTCCATATGCATGGCATAAAGCACCATGCTAATTAATCTTGGAGACACTAATTAATCTGGGCATGCTGCCATGATAACACAACTACACTGATGCCTTGGGTATCTCCCTTTGCCAACATATCATGCTATTTGGTCAAACACACCTCCAAGCACTGTCATTCACATTCACAAGAGGAGTCTCACACCAAGTATGAGCCCCTACAGGAGGGCATTTCCTCTAAGGAGATACCACAAAGGTCTTAAATTTAAATAAAATCCATAGTAGACAACACCAACCTATACATTACATTAATTCTTACTAAATAGCAAAATAATTTGTTTGTATCATGAAGGACGTTGGGCTAGGAGAAAGGCCATGAGAGGGTGTATTGTGGACAGCCTCCTTGTCCTCAGCACTGAAGTTTCAGGGCAGCACCTCAGAAGCCAACTTTAACAGTGGTGAGAGTCTCCCAGTCCTCCAGCTACAGCCATTCACACACAGCAATTCAATTCCCTATCTCAAGACAGAGCGAGGAGGTATGCTCGTACGTGCTCATGTAAATGTTCACAAGCTAGTACATTCCAAATAGTAGATAAAGGAGCCACTGTAGTTGTTAGTGCATTAAAAAAACCTAGTGTTGCCAAACTCCACGGCTTCCCTTTTAACATAATGGTGATAAAACAAGTCTTGGGCTATAGCCAAAGCTACCTTATCTGTTATAACTGATGCCTCCTATTGGAACAGAGATCAACTCTTCACATACTGCAAGTGGACTTTGAACTTTCTATGACTTGTTAGAACACAACATAAGGAACAGTGTGTTTGGTAGCAGCTTGAAGCACTTGCTCCAATAGGAACTGGTCTCTGAACAACCAGAAAGCAAGAGGAAAGAGGAACATCTGGCACATAACACTATCTGCAACAGAACACAGCCAACCCAGTAGCACAGAATGGATATCAGAGGTCAATTACTGTGGCACAGAGCAAGCACAAGTCAGAGAAAAAAGTGTTTCACTGCTAATCTGAACAAGCAGCTTCAGTGTCCAAACAGCCCCTGACCCATACCTCACTCCTCAATCTACACCTAAAACCAGACTTTTCCTGGCCAGTCCTAAGTCTAGGACTGGCAGGATGGCTTCTCTCAAGCCAAGCATACCTTCTAAAAGCACAGCCCATGAATTTATGCATGAGTTACTTTAGCAACAGGACTCATATTGCTGGTAAGTGGGATACGCAAGCGAGAGCCAGTCCTGCCTGCCAGGTTCTAACATTTCAATTAGTTAGCACAGGTAGAGGTCGCAGTGCCTAAAAGGACAGCTTCATCTTGGTCCCAGTTTGCAGTGTATCCAACCGAAACCTTCTAGACCCATAGAGAAAGTGATCAGTTTGAACAAGCAGGCTGTTCAGTAAAAGCACAGGGACAACCGTTATCCTCAGAAAGCACCCCGCTTTCCTACAGCATGGAGCCACATCAAACTTTTGAGCTCCCTTTGCTCTTATCAGATAAGACAAACACTCAAAACCACCAGGTCTAGCACTATCAAATACCAATCCTACACTACTGGAAAAATCATTATTGGAAAAAGCAATCATTAGTTTACTAGAAATTAAATAACATTTGAGAAGTATGTGTTAGAATAGCAATTCTTACACTTGGATGCAAAGCATATCAGCTAATGAAAAACTGAAGGGTGTCAAAAACACCTTTGCTACATGATCACATGTTTCACTCTGCAGGCATTTTATGCATATGTATGACAGAGACAACAGAAAAACTGTCTCTTTCAAAAGATCTAGGTGTTTTTTTTTTTATCCGAAGGCTGAAAATCTGCAGGTGATACACAGTAACACTTTATTAAAGTGTTAGGTCTTCTGTGGTCTCTAACCAACAAAGCCTGTCCAGATTCAGTAGTACAACCCACATGATGAAAAGCAGAATTCATCTTGGACTTTCTGAAGAGTGATTTTTCACTTGACAAGAAAAACAGTTCTGAGACACAACTATTGCTCTGGGCAAGATTTTAAGCTGGTAAACAGAAACTTCAGCTTTAACCAGAAAAAGGTGACTTCTTCTGACTCACAAGTATCTACAGGATACTTCAGAAGTGTCACAACTGAAACAAGTTGCCTGGAAGTGGTTCAAGAAATAAATTAAATTGAGATGACCAGACGATCTTCACTTAATCTGTCTTCAGCATCTATGCACTAGTTACATCTTTTTTTTTTTTTTTAAAAAAAAAAACACCCTTTATCTAGTTATATCCTTTGCTCTGCTGCATTACCATAACATGAAACTCCTCTGACAAGCAAGGAAGTACCTAATAAATCTGGTTTTGCTTCCTTGAGGATACCACAGATTAGGAAGGGTGTGAAGGTCATCCTTTTGTCTGTAAGTGAAAAAGAACTGGAAGGGTGGAGAATGAAACTGAAAGGAGCTATAAAGCATTATCTTGCTTGGTCAATTACTACATGCAGTTGGGACACAGGTGGAGGGAGACAGGCTGCTTCTGATGACAGGGATTTTGCAGCCCATCAGAGCTGGTCAAACAGGAGGGAAGAACTCTGTCAGCTTGCAAGTATAAACATGCTTCAGTAAGCAATCTTAACAGTCACAAAGAGCTGATTGCTATTATCTGCAGAAATAACAGTTTTGGGCCCATTATGTTTACAAGAGTTTGAGCTGTTAATTGTTGGACTTCAAGCAATAGAAATAACCCTACGTAAAAACTGCCCTTCCTTCCTGCTGTTTCCCCATACCCAAGGGAAAAGAGAACACTTCCAAGCTGTCAGGTATCACCATATATATTCATGGGTGTAACACAGCTGGAAACAAAAACAAAACATATATAAAGCATTTAACGTGGGTTAACCATTTCAAGAAGCTGTACAGTAGGGAATCCATGTCTCCTGCATTTCCACATCCAGCTCCCAAGGCTGAAGCTCCCCTTTGCCTTGGGTCTGGCAACATCCTGAGGCTACAAGCTGGCAGGAAAAGGCAAGAGGACTAATGTCTCCCCCTGGCATTAAAGTAAACCTCAGCCAAGTCACTGCTTTTTCATACTTGTTTTCCCCAGGTACTTGTGGGATTTTTCCAACAGATCTTACTGCCATCTCCGTAGGAGTATATGTTTTGGCATATCACTAACAGATAGTATAGTATTTTTAGAAGGGCTGTTGTAGAATAGTCTCAAATCAAGCACTTCTTAGAAAAATCCCTCAGTACCCCATCGTACACACACTTCTGTTACATTTCAAAGAAACATCTCACACCAAACTAAGATGTGAGAGAGCATGCCATATTTCCAGCCTAATCCTTTGAAGACAGAGCATTAGTGAACCTCCTGAGCTGCACAGTAACTAATCTGCAGAAGTATAAACAATTATACACCACTGAGGGCTCCTGCCATGGCAGTGCTGCTTCTCTTGTGCAGAAGGAAAAAAAGAAACAAGACAGCTGTCTCATGAGAGGGTCTGTATCAATGACTTGAGTAAGAAAAGCTAATGCCAAACTCATTCCATATTTATCATTTGTGGAGAAAACTAATCCAGACTAAGAAATGCAGGTATCACATTATAGATAAGTTGAGTTTCCCAATAAGAGGTTGTAGAAAAAAAAAAAAAAAAAAAAAAAAAAGGCATTCTTATGTACTTGATTATCAGAAGCAGTAAGCAAGTAAGTGCATGGCCTTTGGAGGAATAGACAAATTATTCTCTGGAGTCTCACCAGTAGCCCTTAAAAAAAAAAAAAGTTCTCCCCAATAGCATTTCAAGGGAAATTTGACATTTTATTGAGACATTTAAGTGCATCCTTCAAAAATTGAGCATGACAGCAAGTAGCTAGTCTTAGTCCTAAAAGAACAGCAATAGGAATACATGCAGCACCAGTCTGGATACTCTTATTGAAACTGTTATCATGTCTAGCATGCTCAGCAATGCCACAGATCAGAAAATGTTCAAAAATAAGGTCAGCACAAGTCTCAATACTCCTGTACCTTTCATAAAAAAAATAAAATAGGGAGACAACCACCGTAATAACACTACACACTGGATTTGCAGGTTCCAAACATTGGGGGCTGTAGTCTAACACTAACTAACCTTTTGAACTAGATAGGAAGAAGAAGGAAACATATACACAAACTGATTTTAAAACACACTTCCCTCGAGCAGCCAGGAAGAGTAATGCAAAACTACAGAAATCCTCTCTTACGCACACAGTCCACACAACACAGGGGTGACAGAGCAAAGCAGCCCCAACCCACTCTCCCTGAAAAGCTGTCAACCTTCAATGCAGCCAGCAGAGCTGGGGGAAGGAGAGGGCAGAGGAAGAGACGAGGCAGCGTAGAGCTTTGCAGTGTTGCTTACTGTGCCAGAGTGCTGCGGATGGAAAGTAACACGCTGTGATGGCTGTGCACCAGCTCCTGCCCTACAGGCTGCCCTGCACGGGCTGTGCACAGTCTGGTCCCAACAGAGCACTGCTGAGAGTTTCACAGACACACACACAGTTCGCAATACTTGTACTGCCATTCATACACAAGCCACTCCACACCACAAGCACGTTCACATTTAGGTATAATTAAGCAGCATGTTAGATTGCGACACACCTACTCAGCAACACAAAATCCACCAGTTCTCACTACTTCACAAGAAAGAAAAACTACTGAACTCACAGGATCTTCAGTCCACCGTTTTCCTTGAGAACACAGTGCATCACTGAAGTGCAATGCCTGAAAACAGTAACTCGACCTCCCCGGGAAGGTGGGCGGTATTATACAAGCTGAAACATTAGAAACATGCATAATTACGGCGGGTATTTGCTACACATTCTTTCATCCTTGAACAGATACGAATGGAAAAGTCACACTGACACTCCAGGCATAGATGATGTCCAAACCATCAATTAGGAAGATTTTTCACGAGGCCCTGAAAGAGAACAAAAGTTTTTAGAGCATAACTTTTCCCTGGACTTCACAGTTACAACGCCAGCACCGCCAGCACAGAGCAGGGCTCTGCAGATCCCCGGCCCAGCAACAGCTCAGTCCGCGGCTTTGTTCCTCAGTGACCACAGGCACACATGGGTACAGTGCCAGCAGGGATGCCTGCCAGGACACCACCCATCCTGTCACCAATCATCCACCCCTTCCTGCACAGCTCTCCGGCACACCTTTGCCTTTTCCTCAGTGCAGTCATGTGCAGGCAGCCTTCCTCTCCCTCCTACGAAAGCAGCATTTACTTTTGAGTTTCAGGTGGCAGAACCAGAAGGCTGAGTGCTGTGAACCGGTGGCTCGGGTCAGAGTCCAGGGAAATGCATGCTTTCCCCACTTTTACAGGTGCCTCGCAGAACACAACACATTTCTTCCTTATCAGGGAGAACACAGCTCCTAATGACAGAGGAAAACTGTGCACACATGTTTAACCACAGAGTTCTCCTGCCACATTACGTCTTCCTACTCCTCCAACTCAAGGCTATGTCATGCTCCTGGACAAGAGTGATGCAGCAACACCTACAGCTGCCATGACCTCAGTTCACCTCTGTTATTTTAGTAACATCCACATATTGTTGATGTGAGCAGCTCACTTGCTCATCCTCTTCCCACAAAGGAGGCTGTGTTTTTAATTCAGCCCATCTTAGGCAATGAAATAGAAGTGTGGGACACATAGTATTTATTTCAGCTAATTCCCCATGCTCTATGGGCAACATATCCTTGTGGAGCACCAGTTCAGGAGAGAGAGATGAATTATTCTAGAACATTTGTTTGTATTTCAAATAGCCCAACTCTTTTTTCCTTTTTTGTTTGTAGACTACCAAAGCTTTTGAAGGTCACAGCAATGAACATATTGAATTGCCTCTCAAGGTCTCAGAGTCAGCTCTGGATACAGCTCACAGCTTCCAAGATTCTCCTGCATGCAGGGTAAGCATAGCTCTCAGGGAACATGAGTTGTCACAGTGATCACATAAAAAGTAAAAACTCTATTTTTTAAAAAAAGCTCATTTCACAAGTGAAATTCATTGAAAATGCAAGATAAGACTGTCAAGCTATCTTAAACTGGGAATTTTTTTTTCTTTAGCTTTTTGCAAAGAGTGGTTTGTTCAGAGGTTAAACCATGCACACTTTTTTTTTTTTTTTTTTTTTTTTACAGAGTTCTGAAAACTACATGGAGCTTTATTTTGTGATTTCTCACCTTCCCTCTTATGACTTAGTTAAAAGAGGACTGAGCAGCCTTCCTAAGCCTCACCTAGGTTACCTGCTCAAAGTGACTGAGCCATACAGTGGTTTGTAGCCAAGAGACAATTAGCACCTACGGCACAGAAATCCCTACAGAGCAAAGGCCCAAGCTTACAACAAGCCCTGGTTGGAATCACTTCCTTGCCACTATCAACAGGAATTTCCACAGCCTTTTTCAATATTTGCTCTTCAAGTAAATACTGGAGAAGGGAAAGTCAATACTGTAGTTTAAAGATTCCAGTTTAGATGTGGTTTGATAGCAACTTCAAGACATCCTGCCAGGAAGGAGTAGTTGGAACATAAAACTAATTTGGGCCTGTCAGTTACACTCCTTCTCCTGCGTTGTTCACAAAGCCCAGACAAATACCTTATCCATGGACAGACCTGGGGGCCTTACACAAATATTTCATATTCTGCTGCAAGCTTAGGCACATTACATAAACATCTGGAGTACCCACTAAACATGTGAACACCTTCCCCTTAGCCCTACAGTATGCATCTTCATGACACTGTTTCATAAACCTCTCCCTGAGAGAAAACAGTATTATAGAGAGCGTCCATCCAACGGTGCTGTAATCTACAGCCTGTCTGTACATACACCAGGGCTCGGGGAGAAAAGGGGGAGGGGAGTCTCAGGTGCACAAACTCTTCCAAACCTACTTATCAGTGCTTCACTTCTGAGAGGAAGAAAGAGCCTTGCATCATTAGTAAGAGACTGTTTCCATAACAGTACAGAGAACAATGGTACAGACAACTGCTCTAGGGGAATCAGCAACAAGAACCACCTACTTACATCCCTGTAGAGGTACAGTCCTTTTTGTTTGGAAGTGTTCTGAGCATGCAGACCCTAAGAGAGTGTTGAAGTCATCCTAGTGTACACCTCCACAGATGTTTTCAGGAGCCCTGACAGTATCTGAATGCAACAACTGCAGCTCTGAAGGCCTCTGTGTATGCCAGAGTCCATAATTAATGAGCAAGTTGCTCAAAAGGCAGCAGATACTTTGGTACCACAGCTCTCAGCACACCTGGATTTAAACCAAAAGCTACTTGCTGCATAAGCCAAGCTACAAGCAGGGTAAGGCTTACAGCCCTCTCTGAAAGAGCATCCCAAAGTCCTAGAACAACAATATCAGCACTTTCAGGCTCATCTGCTACAGTGCCTGCAGAATCACAGCTACTACCCACTGGTTAGGCACAATTCTTTATGCTTTCAAACCTGTAGAGAAGCTGTATGTTACTGCATGCTTCCACAACTGCTTAACAGACACACTTTGATTACTTCAGAACATACCCTCTACAGAACAAAGGAAATGAGCTTCTCTGCAGTGCTGCTGAACAGGAGATCACCAAACTCGCTGGTGTTAAAAGCAGTAGCAAACAGCCAGCTAACATGACAAGCCACCATTCACATTTTACTGTAGTGAGACATACATGGTTCAAAAATACATGGAAACAATGCATAGATTAAACATGAAAGAAACTATCCTCAAGAGCTGGATGCTCTACGATCATGTTTCAAAGCAATGCAGTATCTTTCAGTTAATCTTTTGGGAAAACCATCCTGGATAGCCCGCTGTGATGTGATTAACACAGGAATTCAGGCCTCTCCGTTGTGACCTTACACAGAAACCTCAGGGGTCAAGAGAAGCTTATATCAGCATTGTAGCAAAACACATGCGTCTGAGCAATCAACGTAAGCCTCCAGTAACAACAGGACCAACAAGTTTCCAGGGAGACCAAGGCAGGGGATGTTCACACACTCTAAGAGGGCCACAAAACTGCTGTTAATGAATGCTGTTAATGAAAAGCTATTCTAAAAGACAGTTGTAAAAATCCTATGTTTGCTAGGCAGAAAGACTTGACTCTAAACTTTCCATATTCTATTCTCAACAAATACCCGTGCCCTATCAAAACAGGAACAAGAAACAAAGGAGTGTTTCCTTAAAGCAACTACTGAGGAACAAAATGAAGCAGAGAAGCTATTTCTCGTTCCAACAGTCAAGTGGTAGGGAGAAAAAGATGGAGGGTTAGGGGGAGATGTGTTTTTACCACAGTCTTCCTTCTTCAGGCACATCAAAGCAAATCCTTGGATATTCCTGATATATGCCAACTAAACTGCCAGGCAGCAGTAATGCTACTTCTTGCCCTTGATACGGAGGTGGCCATGCCATCCCCACTGCACTGGGGATAGCAAAGAAGTCAGGGTGTGACTGCCACTGCTGTGCTCTGCAAAAGCCCTGGGCCCCAGGAGGACAGCAGGTGAAAATTTAGACTGAATTCCAATCAGCCTGCTTGGTATAAATAGCCTCAGGGTGGCTAACATCAGGCCATGAAAAGAGATTATCAGATGAGGTTTTTTCTCCCCATTCTTACTCTTTGCAACTTGAGAAGCGTGAAAGAGAACACCCGCTAGCAAGAAGGCTAATTAATTCCTCCTCACCCCAGTGATGCAAAGTGCAAAGCTTCTGGTTGCAGACTGTGTGCTGATCTAGGAACAAGCCCCTTGATAACACCGCAAGTTAAGAGGCCTGACTTATTCAGAAGAACAGCACCAGAGAACACAAACATTTCGCAAGAATCATTCCCATCATCAGCTGCAGGAGATGAGAGAAAAGCAGCTTCACTCTTGGGTACGTTCATTTTGAAGCAGGTTAATCTAATCTGTCACAGATATTTTGATTAGGGGGTCAGTCAGCACAAATAGAGATGCTTTTAAGAGGATAACTATGTGACTTGCATTGCCTCTTGGGTAAACAGGTTTCTCTGAAATAAGCAGCCTCTACACAGGTTGCAGGAGGGAGAAAGGCCTTGCTTGTCAAGGGCACAACCTCACACACTGATTGCAGGTGCACGCCACTGCAAGACATGAGCAGCCAAAGCAGCCAGAAGCAAGCCAGAGATGGCTTTGCAGTCCTAAGTGCTCAGTTAACAAAAATCTACAAAATCTCTGAACTAGCAGTATGACAAGAGACATGGAGAAATAATGGAAGAACACCAGCAGGCCTCACAAAGCTTTCAGCCTACAGTAGCACAGATTCCAAGTTGTCCGCAACTGGCAGCAGTCTGCGTGCCCAGCACAGCTGCTCTGCAAGCACACCAAGAAGAAAAGCCCCAGCAGCAGGAGCTAACCAGGCACACACTGCCCAAGGCCAAGCAGTGCCTGAAAACCTGAAGAACAAATCCACCTGCAAGAGCACACACTAAAATCCAAACAACATTCACAGTTCTCACGCAATTTGTGACTGCTGTCCCTCCATTTGGCTAGGACACAACAAAGCACACAGTTATCCAAATTTGTTCTAGGATTTCAGATGAGGCAGGCCAACCTATAAACTCAGGGCAACTCTAGTCCCACCATCCTTTTCTGCTTGTTCAAGCACTCTCGGCACAATTTCCCTTTTACTACCTGTTTAGCTCAAAGCAAAGAGGGAGAACAGAGATCCCTCTCTTCCCACTGCTTGGGTCAAAGTAGTCAGCAGGACAGCTGGACAAACAATCACAATGCAAAGGGCTTTACTACGTGGAATCACACTGGGCATGCAGCAGATGTGCAGCCTGGCCAGCTGTGTTTTCTCGCATCAGCTTTCTATCCTTTTGTCCCCCTCCTCAAACAGCTTTTCTTCCCTACCACCCAAGCAGTCTCAGATGCATTCTTTCCCTGAGAAGAGGACAGCAGTTTCTAGCCTTACCACCAAACACAAGCATCAGTGAAATCGGAGAAGCAAGAATGTTTTACTCTGTTTGAATCTGAAGACACCTGCAGTTCAACCTCAGGTGTGCTATTCAAAGCTAACAGAAGAAGAATGGAAGTGTCAGGAACAG